AATGATCACAGGCCAGTGGAGGACAGGAGGGGCTGGAGTTTCCTTTTTGTAGAGGTACCGTTCACTTGAAGAAGCAGGAAGAAAAAAAAAAAAAAACCCTGATGGCAATTTAAGAAACAATAGACTCAACTCGCGCTGCCGGCTTTGCTACTTCAAGTGTCATTTTCCACAACCAGGCAAGTTTTTCCTCTTTTTTTCCCCCCTCCTTCTCTCCCAACCAAAGATGTTTCTTTCCTTTCAGTGCGTATAGACGAGGAGGACGCTGGTTGCCGTAGACAGATACACCAGAGAGGGAGAGTGGGGTGGGGGGAGGGGGGAGGGGGGAGGGAGAGACAGAAAGATAGAAGAGAGGAGGAGAGGAAAGGAGAGGAGAGGAGAGGAGAGGGAGAAAGAGAGAGGGGTGGACCCTGCTGGTTGGAGATTCTGTTTTCTCCTTGCTAAAATAGAAGTGATTTGCAGGCTTTCCCTATGGAATCCAGTTTGACTCTCCCCAGAGCTAAACACAGGCACACTAACCCCAAAGGGAGGAGGCGGGGCCCGCGACTCGTGGACCCGCCCCTTCATTTGCATAACGTCATCCTTCCGCTTCCCCGCAGCCAATCGTGGCGCAAGAGCCTTCTGGCTCACAGCACTGGGCCACGCTCCCTCATTAACATCCCTCCCCCGGTGGCGCAGGGGAGCCGGCCAAAGTTCCTCGCAAAGTGGCGAGCGAAGGATCGCTGAGCCCTGGCGTCTGAGCTGGGGAGGAGCGGGGCTGAGCTAGGCTGAGCCGGGCAGGAGAAGGGAGACAGAAAGAAGGGGAGGAGGATACTCTTCTCAGGGATTTGAGCTGGGTTCTTCATCCTGGCCTTTGCGGTCCATTAAGCATCCTCACCGTGCCCTGAGAGCGCTCGAGGCGCACAGGCTGCGCCCTCCCAGGGCCGATGCCGTGTCCTGCTCCGCTGTTCTGGGACGTCGGGGGCAAAAGCGGAGGAGACGGGAGAACCGGGCAGGAAAAGCAGGACGCGCATCCCAGGTGCCCACCTCTTCACTTTAAGAAGGGTGTGGTGGGGTGGAAAATGGGTACCCCAGATCGAGGCTGGGAGCTCGCGGAGGGCACTGCCTTCATGCTGAGAGGGATGAGTAGACCCAGGGCCCCGGCAGGCCAGGCGCTGTGGATCCCCAGGGAGTGGAGGACTCGGATTCTGCGCCTAGCCCAGCGTCTGAAACGCTTCTCGCTCGGCCGCTAGCCTGGAGGCCACTAGCATTTGGCACTGTCTTCACTTGCTCACTGTTCTCGAGCAATCCGCGGGATACGTAAACGGCGAATGAATGCTCCGACTGGAACTGTGTCAGGATGCGTTTTAAAATGTGTTCGATTCAATCACCACCTTCTCACCCCTGCCCCCGCAAATACTTTTTCTTTAGAGTAACTACCAAAGTAACAACAACGTCTCTGATTAGTTGGTTATTGGATGCAAGGTTTTTCTCTTCCTCATTCTTTCTGTGAAAAAGAGCGACTTGAGCAAACCTTCCTCCAACTTCTGCCTCTGCCACCTGTCAAGAAAGAGAGAGATTGGGAAGGAGGAAAGGAAGGGAGGGAGGAAAGAAGGGAGGAAGAAATGATCTCCTACCTCAGACCTTTCAATATATATGCTTGTGGCTGGCAAAGGAAATAGCTAGATGCTTCTGGGTAATGTGCCCCATCATTTTTTAGCAGGTTGTAACCTCTAATAAGCACATGGTGAACTTCTGTTTCATTGCCCTCAAAGGAACTCCCTGACTGAAGCCAAATCTGCTAAAGACTCCTTCGGGAAAATCCTCTGCCAGAAATCCAGGTCCCCTTTCTGTCGGCCTTCCTCGGCCCTTTGATTTAGGAAGCTCATAGGGTCAGTGATGGAAAAGTACACATGCCCATGTGGAATGGAATGGAGACAGGCAGAAGTTATGCTTTGTGCTCTTGGCAGAGCAGGAAAGGAGGAACCACTTCCAGATTCCCAAACTAGATAAAAGACTGTGTTTTAGGCCTGAAGACACTGTCCTCAACACTGCTTTATCTCTGTGCACAAAGCCTGCCCTGCTCTCATACCATTTAATTTGGACCACTTAGTGTGCTGAGCACTTTCTCCTTGGTACCATAATTAATGCCATCTCCTCTAAGACGCTCTTAAAGAGACCTCTCTGATCCATCAGGATCCCCACAGCATCCACCAGAGTTCATGGTACACAGTAGATGTTCAGGAGGGACACACTAGTGGAGAGACTGAAAGGATTATAGGTTTGTGAAGAGGGGAAAGGGGGGAGCTGGACCTTCTTCGTCTCCACAGAGTTTAAATGCACAGTTGAAACTGGACCTGCTGAAAACATCCCAAAGCTCCAAGCTTAACTCCAAAGCCCAAAGAGTCCCCAGAGCCAATCCCTTCCCCTACCTGGACCATCCCCTGACTTCTCTGAGGGGCTCCTTCAAAGAAGGGGGACCAGGAAGCAGAGAGGCTACCCTCCTATCAATGAGTCCCCAGCATCACTGGCATAAGGCCCATGCCTCCCTCTCTTTAACTGCTTGAGCCTCCATTTTGCTCTCCAGTAGACAGTGTTCAGGAGTCCAAGCTGACTCTGGTGAGGTATATACCCCAGTGATGGGAAACACACAATGAGGGTCAGATCACTGTCAAAGGGAGGCAGCAAAAGTGACAGAGAAAGGAGAGATATAACCACTCTGAGGCCTAGGATCTGTAAGAAGCACACAACAGATGGATTTCTGGGGGGTCGAGCAGAATCTAGAAGCACGCTGCAAATGACATGTTTGTCTAGGAGCCTGAAGCTGCCTGATCCAAAAAGGAAACTGGCCCAGAGAAAGAAGACTTCAGCTGCCCTATTCCTGCCCCAGAGACAGTAATCTCCAGGAACTAAGTAAGAGGAAGGCCACATCCACCAGGCCATAAGAGGAAAATTAAAAGGCGGCAGATACACACTTCAGTGTGTCCCTCCTGAACATCTACTGTGTACCATGAACTCTGGTGGATGCTGTGGGGATCCTGATGGATCAGAGAGGTCTCTTTAAGAGCGTCTTAGAGGAGATGGCATTAATTATGGTACCAAGGAGAAAGTGCTCAGCACATTAAGTGGTCCAAATTAAATGGTATGAGAGCAGGGCAGGCTTTGTGCACAGAGATAAAGCAGTGTTGAGGACAGTGTCTTCATTTGTGAGTGTACTTGATTTTAACCAAGCAGAGTATATTCATTGCTTTTCTTCTGGGTGTCCCTGTGCTTTCAAACTGGCTTTCTCACCCAGTAATAGATGTTTAAGTAGGAAGGAAGCTCAAGAGGAGGTGGAAAAAAGAGAGGGTGCTAGAAAACTGGGGGTGAAACCCAGGCCAGCAGAGTGGTAGCTTTTTGTGGATTTCCTCTGGTGACTGTTGAACTAGCATTTGCAATTTAAAACTTTGGGGGGAAAAAAATCCCTTAAACACCTTTCAGTCTTCCCTCATGTAAGGTTTGCACCACCTCCAGAAAGCAAAACATGTGTGTACAGGAGAGACTATAAAGTATGTACTGAGACTCTCTTCATTCTTTTGACGTTATAGTTCCATCTCCTGTGTACGTGCAGCATTGCCCAGGGTTTATAGCATATCTGTGACATGACTTAAGGGTAGCTCGTCAAGGTAACTCCCAAATTCGACTAATCAGCTTTATCAAATGGGGGAAAGGGGTGTTTTGTTGGAAACGCACATTTCCAAGCTTTGTCCAGACATGCAGAATTACAGAAGAAGAAAATAAGGGAGAAAGAACTCGTGCATGAGGAAAACTTAGAGCAGGACGAGTTTATACGTGGAGGGAGCAACTGGGAAGGCTTGATGTTTCCCCTGGAGTGGAGACTCCCTCAGAGCTTCTCGCAGTTTCTTCCGCTAGGCGGGGCGGGGGCAGGGGGCGGTTTATCGTCCGCCGCCTCTTTCTCGGTTGCTCCAAACAGTAGACAGGACTCCCCTTGAGGTCTCCGCACTCTGGAGGCA